TATGAAATTTACTGTATCTTTCTGCAAGTTAGCTGAAAAAACAGCATTAATAAATGTAAAGAAGTGAGTCATTCTGATTTCTAACTTAATCAAATCAGACTATAATTGACGAAAGCGTGTAGTGAGGTTTTATCACTATATTGTCAGCTTTGCAACTATGTAGTGCATGTCACATTTTAGAGTACTAGTTAATTCCATATTACTGTCTTTCCAGCAACGGGAAAAACTTCACACAAAATTCAAGACCTGCCTCAACAATTCAGTTAGATGGATAATTTCACGATGAAATGTGGTTGATTCTGATCTTCCCTTTCCCACCTTGGCATTAAACTCTCCCGAAACTGTCTAATCACGTGGCCAAAACAGAATGGTGGACCTAATCATTATTAGCAATAAATCACATACCAGAGCTATAGACATGCAGAGAAAAAGTGAACGTGTAATTATCCACAGCACAAATAGCATTAGTGGTTAATGTTCACAGATATTTGTTCCACTTTGCTTAATTATTGTAAAAGCATCAACTTCTTGATACTATCACTGTCAGGCAAGTAAAAAACTTGGTGTTATTCTACTTTTCAAATGGAAAAAGAAATAAGGAATAAAGGGGTTACGCCAACTGCTTAAATCATTGAAGTCATCCAGAAATACATTGAGATTCAAAAAATAGACGTGAATCCTAAATCAGCTACTAACTCTTTGCGCTCTATTTTTATGTCAGTGAATGGAGATTGCCAATATTGTGTGCATTCATCAATTTTTTAGCAAATATTTTATCAGTGTTCTAGTTAATTTCACATTGTACTGGGTTTACAAAGAGGAAAATGGAGCCTTCTTGGTAGGAAATGCACAATACAAATTGGAAATTAATAAAACTTAGGAGAGGTATAGATAAAGTGAAATAAAAACAGTAGAGATTGTCTTCAGCTAGGGGAAAATTAAGAATGACTTCATAAGAGAAGTTGCATTTAATCTGAAACTTGAAGGATTTACAAACATTCAGATATGATCTGGAATCAAATTAATAAGTGTTGGGGAGGGAGAAAGAGGCAGTAAAACGTAGCACATAATGGGAAAATAAAAGAATGCAAGCCATAAATAATGGAAAAAAGTAGTGTATTTTCTATATGTCAGGGAATGGCATTCCTCAGATACACAGGATATTATACACCTGGAAGAGTTTTTGGCAACTATTATCTAAAATGAAAAATTTCCAATAACTGGCTCTGGAACCTAGCCACAGCTCTGAATCATGCACTGCTGAAATGAGAAATATGAACTGAAAGTGTTCATGTTGCATTTGTTAATTTTCTGCATCGTGCTTAGTCATACATTTCCTACTGGATATATATTCTATATGAAGTTTCAGAGAGTAAAGGATTAAATTTAGTATAATCACAGAACAGCTATGCCCTGCATAGGATACAAAGGAATAAAAAAATGAACTCCCAGTCCTTAAGAGGTTACATGATATAGAGAGGATATGAGCAGGTTCCAACAATAGGCAGTAAGTACCCTGAGATCTGGGGCGAGTGCTACACTCATGAGCTTATATAAATATTAGTCAAGATTCTCCAGAGAAACATAGCCCACAGGATGGAGGGACAGATGGATGGATGGATGGATGGATGGATACATACATAGATGGATAGATGGATGGATGGATGGATAGATAGATAGATAGATAGATAGATAGATATAGATGAGAAAGAGAATAAATAGTTTTTAGAAAATTGGCTCATGAGCTACTGTGGGTGTTGGCAAGTCCAAAATCTACAGGAGAGGCTGGCAGCTGGAGAACTGGGCAAGAGGTGATGTTTCGGTCTTGAGTCCAGAGGAGGTCTGGAGGTAGACTCCCTTCTTCCTCAACAGAACGCAACCCTTTCTCTTAAACTTGCATGTGATTGGAGAGGCCCACTCATAGTATAGAGGATAATGTGCTTTGCTCAAAATCTACTGATTTAAATGTTAATCCCATTTAAATAATACCTCCACAGCAACGCCTAGACTGGTGTTTAGCCAAATACAGTCATGCACCTCATAACGTTTTGGTCAAGGACGGACTGAATATGCGCTGGTGGTCCCATAAGATGACAATGAAGCTGAAAAATTCCCGTCACCTCGTGACATCCTTGTAGGCACCCTAACGCTGTGCAACGCATTACTCACGTGTTTGTCATGACGCTGGTCTAAACACACCCACTGCAGTGCCAGTCATATAAAAGTATAGCACATACAACCATGTACAATACATAATGCCTGGCAATGATAATAAACAGCTATGTTGTTGATTTATGTATTCATCATACTATTCCTTGTAGAGTGTATTCTTTCTACTTAATATAAAAAGGTAATTGTAAAAAAGCCTCAGGCAGGCCATTCAGGAGGTATTGCAGAAAAAGGCGTTGTTATCACAGGAGATGACCCCTCCCACGTTACGTTGTTGCCCCTGCAGACCTTCTAGTGGGGCAAGACGTGGAGTTGGAAAAGAGTAATATCGATGATCCCGACCCTGCGTAGGCCTGGGTTAACGTGTGTGTTTGGGTCTTAGCTTTTAACAAAAAAGTTTAAAAAGTAAAAGAAAAAAAGCAATTTAAATTTAAAAAGAGAAAAAAGCTTATAGAATAAGGATAAAAAGAAAGAAAATATTTTTATACAGCCGTACAACGTATTTGTGTTT